ACAATTATTATTGTTCTTATAGAGGTCAGGGCCTTGGCCACTTAAAAATTCATTAAAAATCTGACATAAAGCATATTGACTAATCAGAGCAAAGCATATAAAAATTTTTTTAACATGAATGCACAGGAGCTTAGAACAAAAATTTTCCATACACAATCCTTTCTCTTACAAAAAAAATTATTTTTCTTTTTAAATTTTATTTTCCAAAAATATATTTTCTTTTTTTAAATTTTTTTGAGACACAGTGTCGCTATGTTGCCTTCAGTAGAGTGCTGTGGTGTCACATCTTATAGCAACCTCAAATTCTAGGGCTGAAGCAATTCTCTTGCCTCGGTCTTCCCAGTAGCTGGGACTACAGGCACTTGCCACAATGCCCAGCTATTTTTTGTTGCAGTTGTCATTGTTGCTTAGCCAGCCTGGGCTGAGTTTGAATCTGCCAGCCTCCGTGTATGGGAGCAGCGCCCTAACCACTGTACTACAGGCACTGAACCTTAAGTTATTTTCTTATTGACCATTTTTATAGTCTGTGAATATTAGATGTTCATCTATGAAAGAACTTTAAACATATGGCTATTTTTGCTGATAACTCAGAAGATTCCACTGTTTTTATTATACTAAAAATACTAATTAGTCTTACTTATCAAAAGTCACACTAAGATTGTTTTGTTTCTTTCTATTTGGTTTATAGTTTTATAACCTTTGTATCAAACCCTGACATTTTAAAATATCAAGCAGAGACAAATATAAAACCAACCAGTACCCCAGGCAAAAGTGCTTGCTAACAATTTTGAAGATATTTTTATTTTTAATTTACCAATAATTTTTTTAAACCTACTTATTTACAAATATTAATACATTCAAGGAAACTTAAAAAGCAGGTGTATTTATTTAGTTTATGAATGCTCATTTATAAGCCAATTTTGTACAATACATGTACATACATAAAGCACATCTTTTTTTTTTTTTTTTGAGACAGGATCTCACTTTATCAGCCTTGGTACAGTGCTGTGGCATTGTAGCTCACAGCAACCTCAAACTCTTGGGCTCAAGCCATCCTCTTGCCTCAGCCTCCCAAGTAGCTGGGACTACAGGCACCTGCCACAACGCCTGGCTATTTTTGAGAGACAAGGTCTCACTTTGGCTCAGGCTGGTCTTGAGCCTGTGAGCTTGGCCTACCATGTGCTAGGATTACAGGCGTGAGGCACCGCACCCAGTCCTCCCTTTACTTCTTTTAATACTTCATGTCCCTGAGGTGTAAACTGTGATCCATTTCCTTCAGAACACAATTCCTAGCTTTATGTAATAACACATCACTCAAGTCCTCCTTCCGAAAAAAGCTTGCTCAAGACAATAACAAGAACTTCCTAGCACCCCCTACTCCCCCCAAACTCCTAAAAGAGACAGTGCCCCCATCCAACAGGAAGCAGTTTTGAGAAATTTCTGTGCCCTCATTTCTTAAAATAAAAAGTGGGGAGTTGTAGGAATGGAATTCTCATAAGCTTGACAGGAGGGCAGCCATAAAATCAGCACTCCCCAGATTCCTGGAGTGCTACAAGGCCAGAGTTCCTGGAAACATGTTATCCATATCCTGACCAATAATCTCAAGAATACGCCCATTAATCCTGACCCACAGAAGAGAAGAGCCCCAGGCCGTACTCTGGGCTCGCTGCCCCATTCCAGTGAAAAAGCTTTTTACAATTGTGTGGGAGCTGAGCTGACACCTGATCAGTCTCCATTCTCATTTTCCCCTCTATTAAAGTCTTTCCTTGTCCCTGGACTGTCCTCCTCTCCCTTCTTATCACCCTCACCCTGGTTCTCTGCCAGAACCTTTCACTTCACTCCTTCATTATTCATACCTCACAAACAGAACTTAAAGAACACAGTGAAAATAATTCAACTCTCCTTTTTAGATTCAATCAGGAAATTACGTACAAGTCTTGGCTATAATTAAATTGAGAGTAAATATGTTAGGTAGGTAGTTAGGAATCTGGCTTACTGGGAAAGGAGGGCAAAGACAGGGTCCACAGGCCTCCATCTTGGTGTCTCCCACCTTAATTTTGTCCCAAGTGATTGCTCACACCTGGGAAGGAGGCAACACCCTACCAATCTACCAATCAGAACTTAGCATCCCAGCTGCAAAAGGGTGGAGAAGACTCTACCTTAGCAATAGGTATAATAGAGTCTTAAAAGTGACCTAGAACAGCCTGAAGTCTAATTATTATGTCATTAGCTTAAATCTATATTGCAGCCCACACCCCCAATGTAGCCTCAGAGAGGCTCTTGGGAGGTCTGCATGCACCATAAGATTCTGGTTCCAAGGCTACCTCTGAACCATGAAGTATAGGCCTGACTGAGGGGGTATAAAAGAGAACCACAGCCATAATCTTTGCCCCTTTGCCTTTTTTTTTTGTCATGACAATGGGGGCCCATTTACTCTCTGTGGTAAATGTGCCTTGCTTTGCAAACTTTTTTACTCTATAAAGCTATCTTTCTCTTGCTCAATAAACTTTGTTTTACATTTGCCTTACTTTGCTGGTGTCTAGTCATTTTTTGACTAAGAGTGCTCCAAGAACCAAGAACCCAGGCAGCTGCTTGAAACCCTGGCATTTTAGGACACAGGCAGCTGCCTTCAAATCCAACAAAAAGGGTGACCACTTAAAGAGGGACAGTAATATAGGGCCTGGGGCATGTGAGAGCCAAACTAGCTCCATTTTGTTGTTTATAGCACAAGCTCCATTCTTGGCTGTTTACAGCACAAGCCCCATTCCTAGCTGTTTACCGCATAGCCTTTCCGCCCAACCTCTGCCACTGAAACCTGCAGGGCCACTCCCTGCTTCCTTCCCCCACCCCAGGTTGCACAGCCACTGAGCTGTAAACTGAGTCACCTTAGGCAAATAGCTGCTATAATAAACAATTAGTTTCTATTACCTTGAAATACAGGTAATCAGGTTGCACCAACTCTAGCCCCCGGTTAAGGGACCCCCCCACCCCTCACCTGTACCAATCCAAATTCACCTTTACTAGTGAAATCATCAGCCACCAATGCAAATCCTCCTTTACTAATGAAATCACCAACCACCAATCAAGAGTGTACGGACTCTACCCTTCTTGCTTTCTGTACCCCATAAAAACTTACTCTACCCCGAGTTCGGGGCTCTTCCTCGGCTTGCATGCCAGGAGAGACCAGACCTGGGTTTGAATAAAACCTCACCTCATGCCTTTTACATCAGAGTGTGTCTCAGATTTGTCTGCCGGGGTCTTTTGGGAGAATTTTGGGCATAACAGGCACAACTGAGAGATAAAAAATTCAATAGAATATGGGCATAGAGACAGGAATAAAAGGTAAATTCTACTACAAGTGAGAAGAAGTGCCCAGCATGGATTAAAAATTGATTCTCTACGTTCTCACTCTACATACAACACTTCTGACACCAGGCGCGTACGTTTTGTTCAAAGCAAGCAATTCTCCCACTCTCTAAGCACCAGCTGAGTGCCCTACCATTTAATTAAATTCTGACTTTATCTACTTGGAGTTAACATTAGATCCCACAAGATAAGAGATCAGGCCCACAAGACGGCCCTAGGTTAGATGCCAAAGCTACCCACTTCCTGGAGGTCATGGTAGGGCTGAAGTTCTAGCTCTCTTTCTGTTGATTAGCCTTATCTGGGGGCCACTTGGAGGCCTCACCTTAAGTCACCTCATTAGCAAAATCTCTGGTGTAATCAAAAAGAGTTTGTTTTGAATAACAAAAGATACTCCTATCACTCAAGAAATTTTAGGAGTTCTATAACAGAACCAATGTAAAACCCAAATATATTTCAAATTATACTACAGTTACCAACTCCCATGGCTGGTGTCAAGAAAATTCTCTTTCCTCTGTACTCTAATTATATTAATACATATAGAGACATGCTGTTAGGAAGAAAATGTTCCCTCTACCAATTTAGGTTCAGTGGCCAGGAGCCTGTGAATTAACAACAGGTAGGTTAACAGGAGAAAAGAAAAGTTTTGTTGATAATTTTTAGAAGCATTCAGATGAAGAGGCTTCATGAACGGCTCCAGGTAGGGATATTTATGCCAGTTTAATAGGGGAGAGGGAGGACGGAGCTTCTACAGGAAAACAAATGGACTTTTGGGGGAGACAAAATGGAAGGTTTGGATAAAGTTTACGTACACAATATTCTTGGAATATTGGAACTATCTCCTGTCTGGAGACTCCCTTGGAGGGGGATTAATGCTGGCTGTATTTTTTTGGAGGCTCTACTGTAGTCAGATGAGAGATCAAAAAGGATTTCTGTCTGTGTCTGCTGTAATTCATTATCTGTGCTGCCAAAATGAACACATATATCTACTGTAATTCAAACAATTTCAATTTAGTTCTTGTGTACGCTCATGCATGCACACACATACACACTCATACACACACACATATTTCCCGTCTTTATTTTTTATTGTTTTGAGACAGAGTCTTACTATGTCACCCTCAGTAGAGTGCCGCAGCGTCACAATTCACAGCAACCTCCAACTCTTGGGCTTAAGTGATTCTCTTGCCTCAGCCTCCCAAGTAGCTGGGATGGCAGATGCCTGCCACAACACCCAGCTATTTTGTTTGTTTGTTTGTTTGTTACAGTTGTCATTGTTTAGCTGGCCCGAGCTAGGTTCCAACCCGCCACCCTTGGTGCATGTGGCTGGTGCTGTAACCACTGTGCTATAGGCACCGAGCCTATTTCCCTTCTTTAAAAGCTAACATCTTCTCTTCTCCTCTCCCTGATTTGTTTCCAAATAGTCAAAGGAAGAAGAGAGGGGTATGAGAATTGTTTTTGAGAGGAATAATTTTTTCTGGAGTAAATGAGGTAAATTTTCTGTGCTGTGGTTGTGAATCCATTGACATTAGTTTTTGACCAGAATTTATGAGGTTATGAAAGTGCATGCATGTTTATAGACTGGAAAAATTAAAAGTGGATAGGAGGAAGAGAAATAATCCCACAGTCTTCTCAGATACCTGTAGTTTAAGTCCTTTAATAAAAAGAAACATAAAAAAATCATTTGAGAAGAATAAGTGAGTTCTAAAGACCTAGTACATTTTTAGTACTCTAACTTACTAGAGTGATTCAAAGGGAAAAGGAAGAGAAAATTCCTAAAATCATTTTCTTAATCATATCACATCCAAATATAACAACAATGCAAATAACTCAGAGTTCTGATTTTGTTGGTATATATTTCTAAATTTTTATTGCTTCCCGCAATAGCTGACTATTGGGCATAACAAAAAGCATACACTAGAAACACTCCTTGTGACTAAGTAGAAAAATCCCAGCATGAGTACTAGTTTAACCAGATGTTTTTCTCAGGTCACTACTAACTTTATGGTCTTCAGCAGATTCCTTAACCTCAAGCTCCTATATATGTATAATAGCAGCATCAGGGTGCTGTAATGAGATAGCTTAAATGAAAGCTCTCTGCAGTGCTTGAAATGCTGTATCAATACACATAATGACCAAATTCCAGATGACAGGATCTGAGAGAGCTAAGCTGACCACTATTATAAAAGGAAGCTTATTACAAGCCCAGACTCGTTTTAGACATACCTCTGCATGTCTCTTTAATGAAATGTACTGATATTTAATAGAATGGGTTATACTGAGAAAAAGAATAAGAAATGAGCAGAGGAGACAGAGCCTGGGATAGCTCAAATGCACGCTCATAGATATTTAAAAGTAAATTAAAGGGCCAAATGCTGCCCATAACCCCAGCAGGGTGGCATCTATTTGTCCATGTGCACAGGCACCTCTGGGTTACCCTCACAGGCAATGACAATACGCCGAGTGCTTGACTTGGCTCGGTATCTGCAGTTGGGGACACTGGAACCTCCTGTCTCTCTGCAGTCTGTGACCTGCACTACACCCTCATGACAGTTCATCCGGCCATTCTTGCACGGGATATTGGAGGTGTTGCAGATATTAAGAATGTTCCCAATGTCTTCATGGATGAAGGTATTAAAGGGCTTGCATTGACGAATAGTCATCCTCCGTCTTTGCATCATCACGTTGCAGTAACGATCATCACCACTTGTCACCTGAAGGTCCACGTGTTGCCTCAGGAATCGCTGGTACATGGCATGCTGGCCATAGGAGGGCTGTATTAGCCCCAGCCCCAGCAGGGTCAACAGCAAGAGCAGAAGCAATGGATGGGTCCTCTGCAGAGCCATCAGTATGTCAGAGGGGCCTGAAAAAGAAAGCAAGGGGCAGGAGAAAGCAAAGTAAGAATCCAGGCACAAGAGAGAGGTACTGAGGATGGCAAGTAGATAATTCCTTGATCTCAGTTTCCTCTTTCCTCTTTTGTGTATCCTCTCCCCATTCTTCTCTGTTCATAATTTTTTCCACATTTACCACTCTAAGAGTGAATAGTTGGCAAACATGGTCTTCTTCAAAAGCAAGAGAGCAGTTGCTGTAGCCTGTGTAATGATGCGGGACAGGAACAGGGTGTTCAATCTACCATGTTTCCCCCAAAATAAGACACTGTCTTATATTTATTTGTTCTCAAGAAAATACACTAGGGCTTATTTTCAGGGGATGTCTTATTTTTATTAAGTATAATACAACAATCTACATTTATTCAAATACAGTTAAGTCATCTTCCTCTGGAACCTGACAGGGGGAGCTGACCTTGTTGGTGGGGCTCGTGCTAGGGATGAGTGAACTCCTTTCCCCTAGCCGTTCACACACGCGCAATAGGATGCCTGCGACCCCAGTTACCACACATGCACCAGCGCAAGTGTGAATGGCTCGGAGAAAGGAGCTGTGAGACAGAAAAGGTGTTCCAGTCTTCATTACCGCTCCGCACCGAAATGCCCATCACTAGGTCTTATTATCGGGGTAGGGCTTATGTTTAACAAATGCATAGAAATCCTGCTAGGGATTATTTTTGGGGTAGGTCTTATTTTTGGGGAAACATGGTACATGAAGCTGTACTTGTGTGTCTCTTGAGGTAATTCCCTAGTTGTATCAATAGTGGAACCTCCAAACAGTTCCCTGGAGGCTCCAATTCTAGACAGTTTGGATAGACTCGGCATGTCAAAGAAAGTTTACAAACTGATTTTAATATCTTACATCTAAGAATCAAGGAAGGGGATTCAGGAGAAAAGAGGACAGAGTAACATTTAGGCCTAGCCTTTCCTCTCATGTGGCTACTATTCTTTAAAAAATTTTTTGGTATTTTTTCCCTTTTTTGGGGTATCATATGGCTAGTCTTCTAATGGTATAAAATCAGATCCTTTTGGAAATCCTCTTAATGCTATTAAGAAACAAGGCAGAGTACCCAGACTGATATAACAGTTTGTAATCCCAGGTGTCTCAAAATGGAGTCACTTAAGACAAGCAACTCAGCCCACAGTGCAATTGCTGACCCCTCAGAGTGATACATCTTGGTAGACTAAGTGATAAGATGATACCTCCTGTGGCCAGGCACCCTCTAGATGGAACAAGAAAGTGAAGCCAAAATATAGCTGAGATAATGGCTATGATGCCTGCAGAGGAACTTAAGAACTGCAAAGAAACTGACCATGGCCAAGATACCTGCGGAAAGCTCTGCCTGTGAGAACTCCCAGACTTTTATTTTTGAGACAGAGTCTCACTTTGTTACCCTTGGCAGAGTGCTGTGGCATCATAGCTCATAGCAACCTCAGACTCTTGAGTTCAAGAGCTCCTCTTGCCCCAGCTTCCCAAGTACCCTGGGACTTCAGTTGCCTGCCACAGTTTATTGCCCGTCTATTTTTAGAGACCTGGTCTTGCTTTAGTTCAGGCTGGTCTTGAACTCCTGAGCTCAGGCCATCTGCCTGCCTCCTCAGCTTCCCAGAGTACTAGCATTACAGGTGTACAGGTGTGAGCCACCACACTGGGCTCCCAGATTTCTTTTTCATCAGCAGTGGCCACTGCTGGACACCCTGCTAGGAGAAGAGCAGCAACCCTGCCCCCATTCATGGGCTTTTCAAGGAAAACTGATCTGCAGGTTTATCAGCTGGCCTGTTGGTCTCTCCAGCTACTTTCTGTGGTTTATCTCCCCTCTCTCTTATTACTGCCTCTGTGCATTGGATATATTTGCCTAGGACAAATATATTTATGTGAAAGCCTCTCAGTGTGTGAACCTGTAAATCTGTAAATATTTAATTGGTCACTGAGTCATCATGAAAACTCCCAGCCCCCATGGGAGTTAGCACAATTAGGCTGATTAGAACCTGACAGGAGAAAAGACACAGTGATTTTAAGATAATAGATAACAAGTACTCAACTACTGTTTGAATAAACTAATAAATGAAATGGATGAGCTAACAAACAAATGAAATTAAATGGGTATAGGGAGTAAAGCGGTTTCCCAGGCTTCTGGACTTGACTGATAAGAAAAGATAAGAAAAATTTAAAAATAAATCTAAATAACACAATCTCCACAGAAGAGAACTTGGATTGTCTTTTTTTTTTTTCTTGCTGTTTCTATGTGCATCCCAAGGATATAAGCCCTGGCGAAACCATGCATTGTCATACGTCTATTCCTGATGTTCTTCCTGTCTTGTCAATAATTGTTGATGGTTTGCTGTCTTCCCTAGTTTCAGCATCATGGTGTTGCCACCTCTTGGCAGCAGAAAATAAACCCAAATTTTAATAGCATTAATATATATGTGGAGAGAGAGAACAGGACAACAAAGTACTGCCATGTAGTCTCAAAACATCCATTGGTTTGTTGATTAAAGACAGGAATCCAGGCCTATCTGACTTCTAAACCCTGTGCTCTTTCTATTGTCCTCTACTGCCTCTCTCATCCCACTCCCCAAATATTCAGGATCTTTTTTTTTTCTTTTTTGAAACAGAGCCTCAATCTGTCCCCCTGGGTAGAGTGTCATGGCATCATAGCTCACAGCAACCTCCAACTCCTGGGCTCAAACAAGTCTCCTGCCTCAGCCTCCCAAGTAGCTGGGACCACAGGTGTCCGCCACAATGCCCAGCAATTTTTTGGTTGCAGCCCTCATTGCTGTTTGGCGGGCCAGGCTGGATTTGAACCTGCCATCTCAGGTGTATGTGGCTGGAGCCTTAGCCACTTGAGCCACAGGTGCTGAGCCAATATTCAGGATCTTAAAGACATTTGTGCTTAGAGTTGTTAACCTTCAGCAACAGAATCTAATCAGGGATAGAGGTGGAATCACTCGCCAACACTGACTAGCCAGATGCTGCCATCTGGCTGTCACTCCATTTACATCAACTGTGAATCCACTTGACTCTTGCAGCAAGGCAGGGCTGATTCACTGGAGCCAAGAAAAGCCATCTCTGATTCAAAAGGAAGCAAGGACAACATTTTAAGGGTCAGACAGACTCTGTTTGTGCAGTCAAAGGGCTGGCTCCAGCTGAACTACTGGTTTTATGTGTATGGATACCATGGTCCTTTGTTTTCAAAGATCCCGCTTCAGAATGGCAGATTACACTGTGTGAGTGGCAGAAATGGCTTATGAAGGACCTGCCCCCCATTCTACCTAAACTCTATCCTTCACTTAGTGATGATGAAAGCAGTATCAAACACAGATACCTCCTATATTCTCAGCCAGCCACTTTTTGCCTTTGCACAGAAAGACATAAAGCTCTGTGTTACTTTCCTGAGCCTGCAGCTGTAAATAGCAGATAGGGTGTTCAGAAGAAAGGGGCCATAGGAGGCAGTGTGGCAGGCAGAGATATCTGTCATCTCCTCAGTTTTCACTCCAAGGCCAATGGATACAACTACAGAAGGTGCACATAGTAGCTGGGTTAAACATGTTTGGGGGTTGATTTTCCAACAGCACTTTCAGTTTTACATGGTTTTATCTCCTTTCTTTTATTCTGATTCTTTGTGACCAAGAATATGGCTTAGCAAGATAATTGGCTACGGAGGAGACAAACTATTCATGAGAGAGCCTCAGCTATGCTAACCAATTGAGTAAGCAAGAGAGAAAAATATTTGAGGACAGCTACTAGACAAACATGCTCTCCAAATCATTCCAACATATACTTTTGGGTCAGGATTTGCCCCAAATACTTTCCTACTGCACCATCCTGACTCTCAATAAGAATTTTTTTTACACTGTCCCAAAGACCTAGGCTGTAATGTTGGGGAAATTACTTAATCTCACTCAGCATATTTCTTTATAAGTAAAATGAGTATAATAGTAATTACTTCTATGGATGTTATGAAGAACAAATAAGAATATCAATGCAAAATGTTCCTCACAAGGCCTAGCACATGGTAAGTGCTTAGTAAATGCTGGCACTTACTGTATTATTTTTACCATTTCCATTTTTCTTGCTTTCCTCTAATGCCTTCAATCTGGGAAAATAGTGAATCACTATACTGAGGTGTATATGTTACTGACCTCTCTTTATTTAGTAGAGTTAATTGTATTCCTTAGGAATTAAAAGTCTGTTTCTAAACTATAAAATATCTCAGCTATTAGATCCCTTGAGAAATTTTTCCTTCTCAAATTGCACGGAATTTTCTTCCTTGCATGTCACCTTTCTTAAAAATCTTGATGTTTTGGAATTTTTTCCTTCTCTTTTCCTTGCAAAGTCAATAATTATAGTTGACCAGATCTTTAATTCCTCAAATGATTCATTTAAGATCAAATTACCTGCCTGTGACTTATCATTTTATTCTAAGCAGACTTTGATTGAGATAGAACAAGAGACCCAGAAAAAACAACTAGGACTGCCTATGGAGCTGATAGCACCATCAGCAGGTCAGGAAGCACTCCCATTCCCTTGCTGTGTGGTCTCCTATGAAATAGTCGTTTCCCCTAATACCAGAGCAGGGTATGCAATGATAATGTTCCAAGCAGATGTCTAGAGAAGATTCAAATTTTCACACCTATGGGATGATCAGTATAATAATGGTCCATACCTTTGACTTTCTCCATCGGGGCCTTGAGTGGAAAATGATCTTGAGTGATTTTGTCTTACCTCAGAGAATACTAGGAGAACTTGAGAAAAGGGTCCAAATATTTTACCCCAAACTTGGACTTTCTCACTTCCTAAGGGGTTTTTGAAATTTTATAATAAGGCAAATTTTCTTTTCTTTTCTTTTCTTTTTTTTTCTTTTGGAAACAGAGTTTCACTATGTTGCTCTTCGTAGAGTGCTGTAGCATCACAGCTCACAGCAGCCTCAAACTCTTGGGCTTAAGCAATTCTCTTGCCTCAGTCTCCCAAGTAGTTGGGACTATAGGCGCCTGCCACAACACCCAGCTATTTTTTTTGTTGTTGCAGTTGTCATTTTCATTTAGCTGGCCCCGGGCTGGGCTTGAATCCACCACCCTTGGTGCATGTGCCTGGCACTGTAACCACTGTGCTATGGATGCCAAGCCAATAAGGCAAATTTGCTAATAAGAGAGGTCTGCAAAACTGACCCATGCTGAGTACACACCAACAGCCTATTTTTCCAACCCCTTCCTAAATATAACACTTTCAGTGAGGTTGGCTGGGCTCTCCCCAGTACTACCTGGACAGTGGTCCATAATCTGGGTATTAGGGAACCAGAGCTTTTGACCCATTTCAGGGTGATGCAGGCAGCAAGAGAGTTCGCCATAAGGAACACTGTGATCACAATGATCATGTTCACAAGGCAGCAAAATGGGAGGTTTATGACTGTCATTTATTAATAACTACTTTCTAAATAAAATATACAGGCAACTATTTATAGAAATTAGGTTACAGGAAGCTAAGCACTGAAACTGCAGGTTGATTAGTGTATTTTACAGACTGTCTGTTAACCTAAGTTATAGTCACCTGGAAACAAATCTTGAAGAAGAATAAGGGAGAAAGTTGGAATATTTCTATAACTTCCCTAAGGTATCATGATTGCCAGACATTATTTGGTAAAGTAAAAAGATTATAGAGAAAATAATGTGCTAATTTTTTTGAATTTTATATAAAGTAACTACAATAAGAAAATATCCTGGGAACAATCCATTAAAATCAACAGAAAAATTACCTCCTGTTTAAGACAAAGGCTGGTTACCCTGAATAAATTTTGAATTTTGGTATTCATGATGGATTACGTGTGTGTATGTGAGAGAAAGAGAGAATATAATTAATCTGTTGATATGTTGGTACTCAGTTCTACACTCTTTGCCCCAAAGTCTCATATTTATAAAAGTAAAATTAGCTTATTATTTGAGGGAAAAAACAATTTTCTTTTCTTGAAAATTCTGCTTAGTGGCTACAAGCCCTGGAATTTTTCCATGTCTCTCTGTAGATCAATGTATCATCCTTATCTTCACAGAAAGTTCAACTCTACCTCCTTAATGACTGAGAAGAAATTGACTGATAAGGAAAAAGGCATTTCTATTCCACTCAATCCTCTCAGAGAGCAGCTAAGTAGAGATAATGGGAAAGATTAATAAATTAAGAATCGGTGAGAAGACTGATTCTTACTGATTTCAGAGACATTTTTATTTATTAAATATGCTGTAAAACAGAAAACAAAAGATCCAGGTAGCTTATTCTCTTGGCTCCTAGCAATGGATGCTGCCACCTCTGTCCTGGGGTCTGGAGGAGGAAACTCAAGGAAAGAAGAGAGGAGCCAGCTCTGGGCCAAGGGCCTGCTGGCTATGGGTGGAGGAAGGACTCATCAAAGAAGACAGGTAAGCTGTTTTCACAGGCAATAACGATGAATCTGACTGCTGCTGAGGCTCGGTATCGGCATGGTGGCGAGGAGGAACCCCCTAGGTGTCTGCAAGTGGTGATGTGGAAAGGACGCTTGCTCATTCTTAAGTTTTCTATGTGAGAGGTTTCTTTCTTATCTCCACAGATGGCCTTGATGCTGCCCTTGGTGCCATGAATAAAGGTGTTGGTGTCTTTGCAGGGTGAGGTCATACCTCGTCTCTCCATCATTTTTTCACAGTATTTGCTATTACGGCCACTTGGTCTGGGATCATAGTGCTGGTTCAGGAATTGTTTGTACGTGGGACTATCCTGAGCCAGGGTCGGTGGGGTCAGACCTAGACCCAGCATGAAGACCAACAACAAGGGGCCCACGCCCATCGCCATCTCTTCGAACAGAGGCTCCTGCCAAGGGCAAAAGGAGGTGTGGTAGGAGCATAGAATAGCATTGCCAAGTTAGGCTGGAAGGAAAGGGACTTTTCTCTCTGACAAGGCAGCATGAATCTGGCCTTTTCAGTGATCAAATTACCACCTTTCATTTCCCTTCCTTATTAACCTCACACTTCTTATCAATCCCCTCCTTTCTTTCTTTCTTTTTTTTTTTTTGGAAACAGGGTCTTACTCTGTAGCCCAAACTAGAGTGCTGTGACACAATCATAGTTGTCTGCAGCCTCAAACCCCTGCCCTCAAGCAATGCTCCTGCTTCAGCCTCTAGAGTAGCTGGGACACAACACCACACCTGGCTAAACAAAAAATTTTTTGTATAAATAAAGTCTCACTGCGTGTATATTGCCTAGGCCAGTCTCAAACTCCTGGGCTCAAGTGATCCTCCCCACCTCAGCCACCCAAAGTGCAGGCATTACAGGTGTGAACCATCATGCCTGACCTCAATCTGCCCCTTTGGAAAGTCTACTTATTAGTTTCCTGATCACAACTTTCAGCCCCAATCATTCTTTCCTATGAATCACTGAGTATTTATCTTTCTTCTGGTCATAGCATTATAAAATCCATTTGCATTCTTTAATTCATTTATTAGGCAATTAATAACAAGCATTACATAAACCTCTGCTGGTACCAGAGACTAGGTGCTAGGCCATGAAACAAAAAGACCATTAAGGCTCACCAAATGCCTCCTTAAAGGAGATGTGGCATCCATGGGGAAGGGATGGGAACTCCAACTTACTGAGATAAGATAGTATATATTGGAGGTAAGAGCTAGGAAGAGAAACTTTCTGGGAATCCTAAACCCAGGGTAGGGTCAGTCAGTGGGATTGTTTAAGACAGAATTCTGCATAGTCAAATTAGTCAGCTCACTGTGAGGAGAGCAGTTGAGAGTACCTTCATTTGTTATGTCCCACCTCCATCTTGCTCAGGGCTTTCACCACTCTCCCTTTAAGACAGGAAGCTCAGCTGAAAGAGTTTAGTAATCACACCAAGCCACAGCTTCCCCTTGTAAGGACTCCCCTTACCAGGTGTTGGCTCTTGTCAAATTTAGCTTATATTAAGGATTCCACCTCCCTTACCAAAAGCCCCTTATAAAAGGTTTCTATCTCTGGTTCGAGGGTTTGAGAGACTTTGAGGTGTGAGCCTGCTTTTGGCCTGGCTGATTAATAAAGGAACCTTGCTTGATTTGGATTCAGCGTGCTGGCATTCCACTCGCTTTGGGTAGCTGACATTTGGAGGCTCCAGCGAGATTTGCCAGCCAGAGAGTTGGCTTCCCTGTGTAGCCCCCTGGAGAGGACAGGAATTATAGGAGAGGTGCCCCCCTGGGGAAACCCTAGTTTCCATCGGTTCAGGAAACCCATGATTTCCTGAACTACTCCTGAGGGCTAAAGAGGGACTCCTTCCAACTCCTTACCCAAATTCAGGTCCTCCAACTTACTCTTGAGAGGTAATTGTCTG